ACACAAGCTATAAATAAAAGAATTGCTTGATATCCCTCATATTTAAACCATTCCTGTTGCAACACTAAGAACCTTTGTTGAGTGACTCCTGTGTAGACTGAACAGTGAACATTACAGGAATAGAAAACCATTTCTTGCTCCCTTCTGGTTGGAAATGCTTCCCTTCACAACTGCGGTATCTGAAATCGCCTTTCTACTAAATGTGGTAAGTTGCACATCAAGCTTGTGGCTGCCTGCATATTGTAGCCTGTAGCATTGAGTTCATTTTTTGCAACAGGGCACACTGTACCCCTTCCAGCCTTTCCCCAGACTACACTGAGCTAGACATCTCCATGTCCAGAATTTCTTCTTATACACTAATACTTTTATCATAGCTGTATGTCTGTACATCTCCTGTTTGTAAGGGTTGTGGGTGCTCCCATCTGCTACACCAGGAACTTCTATTCTCTCTCGCATATCCAGGCCTCTTAAGTTATGCATTTCTTTGTCTAATGAAGGAAGAGTCAATTACTTAATAAGATGAAGGCTCCAATTATGGAATAAAGTGCTAATCTATGTAAATAAGGATATCAAAGACATATTCCATCAACTACAAATAAAATAAGATTCCTAGAGTAATTCTGTCTGTTCCTTTGATAATATCTTCTATCCAGACATTCATTTTTATTAAAAAATAACAAAAATGCACTCTGCCCTAATTTACATACAAAAGATAAAACCATTCCTTAAGTGACAAGTTCAGCTTAATTTCAAAAGACAATTAGGTTTCCAGGGGGCATAAGGTTGTCATTATATCATTCAAAAAAGGAGCGAGCACTTAAAATAAAGCACTGGAGGGGGAGAAAATCTTCCCCTGCCTGCATGAGACACACAAAGGTGAAATTCTGTCTAGAAAAAGGTATTTTATCATGGTGTGATCAGATTGATTCATATGAAAATAAGTGTAGCACTCTGTCATGGTTTAAGTCTGCTGTCCGATACCCAGCTGAGCAGCGATCGGTGGTGACTCCTCCAGTTTTCATTCTGGTCATGACATGCTGTGGCATGGAATACCCCTTTGGCTAGTTTGGGTCAGGTGTCCTGTCTCTGCTCCTTTCTGGCTTCCTGTGCCCCTCCTCGCTGCAGAGCATGAGATTGAAAAGTCCCTGATCAGGGTAAGTGCTACTGAGCAACAGCTAAAACATCATTGTGTTATCAGCATTGTTCTCAGACTGAAACCAAAACACAGCCCTGCACCAGCTACTAGGAAGAAAATTGACTGTTACAGCTGAACCCAGGACACACTCTGACTTCCAAGAATCAGAAAATCAAGCTATACAGCAACACAACATTTAAAAACTGTGCACAACAATACATAAACAAGTCTTAAGCTGAACACCATATTCCTACATAATTATAAATAACATGTTATGCTCTCTTATTTAATGACGTATGTCACATTTTCCGTAACAAGTGCATATTGACAGCCAACTACATTAGCCAACAATATTTACACTTTAATTACGGCTTTTAAAATGGAAATCTGTAACTATGTATGTACACAAGTTGTTAATGGGGCAGAAATTCATCCAAGGAGATCCATCTGTAAATGTCCATTATGTAGATATCTATTTGTCAGTGGGCAAATATTTTTACAATAGGTAGTGTTTAATTTGATAATGTAGGAAACAAGATTTTCAATTCACTTGAAAATTCGAATAGACACATACAGTATTGTTTTTAAATCCTAAATGGCTTTTGAATTCAGCTGGGTTTTACAGTTAATGTTTTGTAGAAGCAGCCAGACTTCCTGAGTTCCCTTTGTTATCTCTGGCCTCCAAAGTGCCAACAGCATGGACAGGTTATTGCTTAGCATGATTTCTGCCATACTACGGTCCTCAGTTGTAATCATATATTAGTCAAACCAAGGACCTGTTGTGGTACGAGAGAGCTTCTGATTTATGAAGATGTCAGCTCCTGAGAATCTGGTCCATCACTATGGTGGCAACACTAACAGCATTAGAGGCTCTTGCGCATTTCTACCAGTGGCTTGTAATGTTCCCATCAGGCTATGACTCTTTTTTGCAATATGGTGCTGTCAACACTGTTCTCATCAGTTATACATATCAGTGGATTATTAACAATATTTGTCAGACTTCTATATTAGTTTTGTCCCAGAACAGCCTTGCCTCACTTCAGCAATAGAATTACATTTTGCATTGTCTCAAGAAATGCTTTTAAATTAGAATTGATGTTTCAGCCATATGATTTTTCACTGCTGATATAATTTAGTTTCCTATCTAAATTTTTATATGAGTATAGGACTTATTTTTACAAAGCATGATGCTATTAAAGGTGGCTGAAGCAGAAAGTTCCCACAGCAGAATTTGGGATAATACCTCTCCCATGCATGGCAGACAAAAAGAGTGCTCAAGACTGACACAAATTTCTAAAGTAAATTGAAAAGAAACATAAAAGAGAAGACTGAAACCTCAGAGCAAGACTTCTCCTTAACAAGCATGCATTTAATCAAAGTGACAAATAAATAAGTACGAATGTAAACACTAAGTATCCTGTGTAATCACTACAGGGACTATTGTATTTTGCAGTTAAAGGGTATAACTGCATAAATTGTATACTGCATAAATTGCATTGTATACTGCATAAATTGTATATAAAAACACCAAACTTTTACCAGGAAAATATGTGGGAATGTTTTTTCCGCTATGCTGCATATTCTGTTGTACTGGGAGCAGCTGTACCAGTACACAGTCCCTTTAAAACCAATAAAGCTGTACATGAAGAGGGGCCAGCTCAGAATGCAGAAACAGAAGCCAATGACTCATTTTAACGTCTGTCTCTGAACTGAAACACAAAATAGCAATTACCTCAAAGCTGTTTGCTGCCACAGCTAGGAAGACTCTTTCACATTTAGAGCACACTACCCACGCAACAGAAAATACCTTCTTTTTTCTTTTCACTGTACAGCTTGCAATGCTGTGGCTGATGCTAGAATTTGGCATGTTTCAATCTAAGTCATCAGCTCAAATCTTGCCCATGCTGATGGTGACCCAAAGTTATTACTTGATTCACAGCTTAAATTATTTGAGTCTGCTTTTTGTAGACAAGAGAAACACATTGTGAGCTTATCTTACCCAGACAATCAGCAATAGTTCAGCATTCTAGGACAACCTTGAGAAGAATGGGGTATTTTGCACTGCCATGGCCCAGAAGGTACTTATCTTGAGAATGAAGAAAGAATTGGGTTTCAACAACATCTACCACAATGAGATCCTGTAACCAGGACTGTGTATCTATGGACTTCTGTGATATAAATAGTAATTAAATCCCACTGCCACACTACCTGCTGAAAGATTTTCTAAAGGCAATGTCTTCCATGATTCTGGCAAAAAGTTATGTAAAAAAATAACTTTTTATTGTTTCCCAAGGCAAAAAAATATATACTAGTTCTTTAATTTGTAAGTGGCATGGCTATTAAAATGTCAGATTTAAAATAAATGAGCCAATATATATATAGTAAAGCCACAAGATTATTTTAAAGTAAAAAAGGGTAAAATACCCCTGTGCATGAAATTCAAAGTACTGTAGTTATGCCTATAGATGTTTAGATGGCATGAAATAATGAAGATGTGTGCTGAACTTAATATTTTGTTGATATTTAAAAAGAAACAGCAGTCCGTGCTGAAGAATAGAACGAAAGATGTGTTCTCATCTAAGTTTCCATGGAATTTACTTGAGAAATTTCCATTAGTGATTACAGAACTTGAATTCTAATATAACAAAAAGACACTAGAAGCCTTTTCCAGTATTCTTTGGAAGAAAGAGTACAGCTAGTTCAAACCATTGACTTAATGCATCAGGCCATCTGGGAATTTTTTCCTCTGGGAGTTATAGCTATTCTTTCAAGTGATCTATATTTCAAAGAAAACTGGCTTAAGTTCTAATGTACTTTATTGTCATTCACCACTGTTCTTTAGTAGGGTTTTAGAGACATAATGCTGATCATTTAATCATAGTAGTCCTGACAGAATTCTGAGTACAAACTTCTTTTTTCCTTCTTCTTTTCCCTATTAATCCATTTAACTTTCCCATCACATGACCTGGAAGCTGGTTTGTGATTCAACATATGCTCAGTTAGAACAAGTTTGAATCTGTTAATTTTCCAATGACCATAAACCTACATTGCTCAAATGAAATGTACAACGTCTTCTGAGTCAAGAAGGAGCTCGCTTTTTAGCCATGAGCAATTCACAGTGTCTATCCTTAAACAACTTAACATAAAGGTATCAAGGATTATATGGCAGGAGGGTTGGAACTAAATAATCTTAAGGTCTTTTCCAACACTAACTATTCTATGATTCTATTTCTGAAATCTTGTGGATACCTAAAAGTATCAGTGATCAGCATATTTGCAGACAAGTGCTTTTTTGGTCCCTGCATACAAGCTTACAGTTGCCTAAGTCACATCTTGGCCAAAAAATATGCAGAAAAACTGACAGAGCCATCTCTAACACCAACACGACAAAAATAGGGAGCAATGGCTCTGGAGCTGGATATCTGATATATGCAGGTGTGTCTCTTCTGTCAGAAATAAGATTATAGATGCAGGATTGGCTCAGGAAGGTTAGGAAGTCCAGACTCCTAAATCCTGGATTTGTAAGCAGTGACTTAATCAGAAGACTGCTAAGTCAAATCACAACGGTGGATCAAACAACTGAGGAAAGTATTCCGTAAAAGAGTGTCAAGATGAGCAAGAGAATGAAACGAGGGCTGAATGACAGCAAGTAAGTGTTAAAAACCTCTGGATTCTGATGAAGACATCTTAAAATACAGTGGAAAATTTGGGATTTGAATTCTTTTTGAACCTAGAAATCAAAGCTATAATAATTAATAACCATATTTCACAATCTAGACAAATAGCAGATGATAGAAGATTTTTTAATACAGAAAAGTGTCCCTTATTACATTTTCCAAACTCTTGCTTACCATTAACATTTTAGATCTACGTGATATTGAAGATACTTAAAGCAAACTGCTTAAGATTCTGGGCTGACAGGCTCATTAAGCTGAATAGTAGGATTGCTGTCATATGCACTTCAGGCACTTACAGTAGGAAATCTTCTATTTTTAATTCCAAATGTTTAAAGAGAAATCTGTATCATTAAAACTTTATATTTCTTTCCTTTGAGAGGCATTACTAACTGATGATATCGTGGTTATCTCTTACGTTCTAAACTATTTAAGCAGAAGAGTGCTCTGTGCAACAGCTTCGGTATAGAAGATGCCCATTTTTTAATCAATTCATACTCTCTTTATTATTGATCAGTAATTTATGACTGTCAATATTAAAGCATCATCTACTGCAGCTATAGGTGTTCAGACTGGTAACAGTTGTATATTGTATACCGTATACCATATATAGTTGTATACTAGCTTCCATTTGTTCTACATTATTTTAATACATGTAAAAATACCTATCAAGTTTTATTCAGTGTTAAGAGCAAAACAGTTTTGCAAAAAAAAAATTTAAAAACAAATGTTTTTCCAAGGTCAGGTTTATCAAAATTATTAAAAGATGCTTCACAGTGCTGATGATAGCATCTGTGTGGAAGCCTCCCTAGTGTTGCAAGTCAGTGCGAGTTCAGTTTCTAGCAATTAGTTTCTTTTGAAGGTTCTTAACAGGTACCTATCTAAATATTTTTATTCTGGCAGTGTATGAAGACTTCCATCATACAGTCTTTGATCTGGAGATCTAGAAAATAAATTAAAGAGTGCTTGGGAGGGACTCTGAAGTGCTAAGTACTCTTCTTTCAGACCAAATAAAAAGTGCAATTACAAATCTTTAAGTAATAAGATACCTGGTATTAATAGGCATTACCACAGGATTCATCAAGCAGCATGGCTGGGCTTGGCCAGAAGCTATGTCATGTGCGTTGAAGTAATAACGGATGGAGAAAGCCAAGGTGAAGATCAGAAGACAGTGGATAAAATTGTAATGAATAAGAACTGACATAAACAGGAGCAGAAGGGCATTTCCAGGGGAAAAGCAGGAACACAAAGTTAAGTTAGCAGACATCTGAGAAAAGAAACTTCTCCTAATGCTATTTTTATTATTTTCACAGAAAAGAATCATATGTAATCTTTGAAGGAGTCAGGACGAATTGAACCTGCTTCAGTGTCACCCCCTAAAGAAAAAAGCCACAAAATGTAAGTCACCAAATATAACTATGGAAAAAATGTTGCTCTTTTGTATTTACAAAATTACACAAATTATATAGGGTATAAAATAGCAAATATTTCATCAGAATCAGATCTCTACACTAAAATCTAGTGTTAGGTTACAACTGCAGCTGATAAAACCATTCTGTTTTCACTGTTGTTTCCTTGGGAAGTATAATTCTAACGTCTGTTCAAAGAGTCTATTTGTAGATCACTACACTCACCTCTTTTTTTATATATGATTATATAGAAGTTCAAATTGTAATATAATCACAATCCACATTAAATCCCACTGCCTTAAGAACATGATATTCCTACAACAACTGAGCTGGTTTGTTTCTCTTTGTCCGTTTCTTTCTCTGCTGAGATCCAGATGAAGAGTAGAGTTCAGCTGAATCACTGTACTGCTTTAGAGATTGGCCCTATGTTAGTTGAGACTACTAAGGAAGGGACTTCAAGATAAAACATCCTGCTGCTATTATATTCTTGTCCAACTTGTTTCCCTAAATGTTGCATATAAAAATGGTTATGATACCATTTTTATTTATGCAGGCATGCACAAATGAATGTTTGCATTCTTATATAGGAGTTTGGACATGATGCTGCCATTTTGTGATTTCTGTTATGAACAAGTTTCTCACCTAAGACTTACAGCCACACATGATTTATGTAAGTCCATACAACTCTTTTGAAATTAAAACAGTTTAGAATTTCTCTAACTGGTGATTTGGGTTTGTTTTTGTAAGGCAGGGATTGTAAAAAAAAGAAGTTCTGTTAAAAAATCCATTGGCAACCTCAATAATATTGTTCTGCCTACTTATTTTGGTTCTTTTTCCTCAGTGTAAGGTTGCACACTGAGGGCATTTCCCCGGAAAGTTAAAAAGTGAGGTCACTGAAACAACTGTGATAAGATATTCTTTCTGCAGCTTCTGAAATTAGATATGTCTATCTTATCATCATGTTTGATTAATTCCACTACAATAGAGTCATCTCTTGTTTTCATATAAGCTCCTTTCACCTTCTGTTTAACTCCTTCCTTTTTAGTTACCAGAAAGGATACAACTTTTGACAGAATAATCAAAAGAAAGGAAGAATCCAAGGGGGACACCTACATACTAGGAGATAAAGTTCCAATTTTGCTCTTGAAGAGGGGCAGCTACCTGACAGAGCAGCTTCTAATTTTCCTCCCTTATCTGCTCAAGGTGAACATTGCTGACTTAAGAAAAGGTCTATGTAATTTGATAAGGCAACTAAAAGAAGTAAACCATTTAGTTTTATCAGATACAAACTCTAGCACCACCAGGGATGACCCATCTTATTCTCAACAAGAAAGGATTACCTCAAGAGAATTAAGCAAAGTAACTCTCGGTTAGGAGTCTGTATAAAGCAAAGCACTCACTGTGTGTTAAGAGAATACTTAAAAATATAAAACCTTTAAACAATCCACAGATAGCATTACAGCCATGTAACATTCCTTGAAAACTTACCCTGAAATATGTCTCAAAACTGCATTAATTCCCATTCCATATAAAAGGAATATATATTGTTGTTAAGCCTTGTGTTATATCTCACTGAAAGCAGTGGTAAAGTCCAAACATTGACTCTAATGTGAATTAAAACATAGTCATCATGGCAATGAGTAAGTTTTTAACACAAATCATTTTACCCTTTTCACCGTTAATGTAATTGAGTTTAAATTATACCGAGTCATGCTTTTGAAGAAAAATAATGTAATTGAAAATGTCTAGCCTGGTCTAGCATGTGAGACAAGTCTGTGACTTAGTCTGCTTAGCAAGAAGGAAAAGTTATGGGAAAGTTCTGACTTGGGATTCAAAAGTTTGAATACTTCCCTCTGACTTAGGTGTGCCTTGCTTTCTATAATACTTAAACATGAAATACCCATATATTCATGAAAATGTTATTAACTGACTGTGGGATGGACCTGAAAAACAAAATTTGGAGAGTCTGGATTTGATTCATGGATAGAAGGAAAACTTTAATATTGCACGATCCTACGGTAACCTTTGGGATGTTCCAAGGAGACTGAATGAAAATGGTGTACTGATAATATCACTCACAGACAATGGAGACATGTAATCTCTAATACATTGTAATGTTCTGTGTGTACATCTCATAAATTTGAGACAAACATACAGAAGTCCCTACATTAGAAATTAGTTACACTCTGTTACTGGTGTGTTACCCCTCACTCTATGTGTGTGTGTGTATATATATATATATACACACACACACTCAATATATGTATGTATGTATGCCTGCATGCCTTGGCAAATCTCTTCTGTAGTGTACTCATTCATTTTGCTTTTAAACTCTTACGATCAATTTAAAAATAAATCTAACATCTTAAAAATGCAGTAAAATTAAAATACCTAATTCCCGTTTAAAACAAAAGTCATGTTTTACTTGCATATTTCCTAATCTTTCTGTCTTTCACTGCAGTGAAAATGCTATGTTTAGGAAAGCTGTGGTAACATTGATAGATTTCATTAGAGGTGCACCTAATACGCTTTTCTACTGTGTGTTCTTTACTCTGCATTTTCTGAGAACTCTGCAAAAAAAGCATTCCATGCAGTCTAAAGAATAAGCTGTAATGTACAACAAATACATAACGACTCACAGGTGTTGTTCCAAAGGACTGTTGTTGTAACGTAATGTAGTAGAATCCCAGCTTTTTCCCAGATACTGTTTTAAAATTATTTTATATCTGTGGGATAATTAATTCCTGTTTTAGGATAGTTCTATATAGACACTCACCCTTCCCCACACTCTAAGTGGAGTTAGGAGCCTATAAAGGAACGTTCTTCACAGTAAGCACAGTAAGTAGCTACTGTCACACCAGAAGGACGTCTCCTTTTCTGTATGAAGATTGCTGCTCTAAAGATCAACATAAAAACTTGTTGGGTTGTTTTTGCTGTTTTTTTAATAGCCACACATAATTTCTTCAGGCAAATGTTCCCTTGTGTGTAGAAACTGCTCTATGAGTACTAGGAATCAGTGTGGAGCAGTCTCTGCTTGAAGTGATAAATTAAATTAATGTAGACAACAACTAAGCCACTTTTGTGTTGAAAGTGAATGCTAAGGACATTTATCCTGTGCTTTATGATAAAGTCATTTAAAAGACTAAAATGCTGAGAGAAAAAGTATTGCATTTTAGGAAACATGCATAAACTGTTCTTTTACTTGCTTAATTACAAGTTGCTGAGAGTAGCATCAACACATATTCAAATTATTTTTTTAAATCCTTGTGTATATGTTATATGTCTAAAACTTTTTCATGGAAGTGTCCTAGTTTGCATTTTGAAACTGAAGAACTGTTCATGATATCTAAATAACTGGTTTTACAAAAAATATGTAAGCTAATATGAATATTAAAGCATGATGCAACTGTCCCATGCTCAGAGCTATTCAACCAAGAATCTGTTGTTGTGTCTAAGTATTACCAATTTGTCACCTTGAGAGTGATGTTACATGTTGCAATCGAGCTGATCTGCCACCTTACCACTACTGCAAGTGAAGGATCCTCCTACTGTTTTCTAGGCCTTTGTTTTCCTTCAACATGATCCCAACCATGCAGTCTCCACCTTTGCTTACCTAGCTCCAAGGCACATATTTTCAGTCTGGAATATTTTTTGCCAACTTAGCAATACAAACTATTTTTGTACAAGTCCAGTGAGTGCCAACAGCAAAGCAGGGGAAGGGAGAGGAGGGGATCAAGTGAGCAGTGAAAGCTTATCTCCTGTCAGTGATGGGAAGCTCTTACCTCCACTTGAATCACATCAACTTATCAAACTTGAGCCTACCATCCACAGGACAAAATGCTGATTAACATTTTGTAGCTACAGGAGGAAGTCTAACAACCTACCTTTCCCCATCCCATCACTTAACTCCTCATCATTTGACCCCTTCATTCAAGCTACAAAGCTTGCTCCCCTTCCTCACTTCACAACAAATCTAATTTATTACGGTGTGTGTGTGTGTGTGTGTGTGTGTGTGTGTGTAGCTTTTGTTTCTTTGTTGTTATTTTCTGTGATTTTAGTGAATTTATCAGGCTTGCAGAGGGCCAAGGAAAGTAAGAGTAAAGGGAAAGAGAAGGAAGATGGGCAAGGATTGCTAGCCAAAACTGCCCTGTAAAGCTGTCATTCACATACATCTCAAATCAGCTTAAGTTGGCAAGGCCTTCTGAAGTACTGGCTTCACTCCATCTTTACCTTGCTTTCCCCCTTCACTGGCATCAGTGTTTGTGTCTATGGACCATGAAAAACTATTTAAGCAATTTTTTTCCTTGCTGTTTTGTTCACCCCCACTCCACACCCTCTTGGTTTAACTTGGATAAGCCTTTAACAGTACATTTTAGGGAAGAGCATATTTTTTTCCCCAGAAAACCTGTTTTCCCCATGATTTCCCTATTTTTCAGTAAGTGCAATGAAGGTGAATAATGTTCACATTTGCTCTCACACAGAAACACTGAGAGTTTTCTGAATTTCTCTTTCTTCTGTCCTATGCCTTTTCAAAACTCTCCAGGTTTGGAAGTACAGAACAAGGTTTTTATATTTTATAACAGGCACTTTTCCAAAATCTTCAAGTTTGAGAAAATCACAGTACCAGCATAAAATAGAAAGCAACCAAATTAAAGAAACTGTAGAGGACTCCAGGATCTGCTGGTTCAGTGTAAAAGGCAATGATAGGATTGGAAAAAAATCACTTTAAAGATAAAATGGCAAAAGGATATGTTTACATGATAATCCTATTAAAAATCTACATTCACAAAAAACTCCATACATGCATGGTAGAAAATCAAACAGGTTTTATTGCCTGTAGAAGATGTCAAGAACAGACGAGTTCCGGCAAAGCACGTTTTGAAGAAGGAATTAATTTCACCTACCTCTGTGATCTACTTAGTGTACGGTTTATGTAAATATGAGAGATATGGAAACTTGACCTATTGCTCACTGTGTTATACCTGTTTGGTACTTGTGTGTACTATTGTTACCTCCCACTGCTCTAATCTCAGCTCCACTTGCTAGTGCAGTTAGTCTTTCTATTATTATTCTTTTTTTTCTCATTATCAGCATTAAGTAAATGGGTAAAAACTGTCTTTGGAAATATGTGCAATGCTGGAGGGAACTTCTAGCACCCAGTAGGTTTCCTCAAGCCCAGCTGACAAATCTATTTCAGATAACAGGGATTTGTTGGAGAAGGAATTGAACAGATATTTCACTAGTAGTAAAAAACAATTTAGGAGGAATGTGGGTTTTAGATGCAGAATAATATCGAGTTCCAAAGCAGGGTGCTTGGGGTATGAGGAAACAGGTAGTAGCTTTACCAGTGTTCTGGTAGTTCATCAGAATGACCTGAAACTCTTCTTCTGCTGAGTTTCTAACAGAAATACTCAACAGCTAATGAAGACCTCTTCCCTTGCCTTGCCTTCCTATCTCCTCTCCTTT